CTGAAGATGCCTATATCAAAAGAACGTATTTCTGTCTTGAGATGAAATCATTGCTTTGACCACATTGCATGTCGCACATTCAGAAGCTATTCACTTGAAATTACTGACTAGAAACCGTACCTGATGGTTTTGAATTTAACCTGATATTGAGAAGGCTAGAAAAGGAGCAATACACTTCAGTTTAGTCAATGCAAACTTCTAAGACACCTGTCTTTTGATGGAAAGTAGCAGTAATATATAATATATTACTGGTACACCCAAAAATTGCCTGGAAGCCTGCTAGTTTCCATTTTAAGTTTCTACTTCAGCAATAGCAGGATGGTGGCAATTATTTGTCACCTACAGATTGCCCTTAGTGACAGACGCTGAAAATGTATAGAAGAGTATTTTGTTGAAGCATCTTTAGCACTCCATTGCCTTTTAGGAATTGATCAGATCACAATAAAGCACAGGATTCTTGACACATTCTGGAAAAATTTAAAGGATTAGCAGATACCTTATTAAATGACACTGACAGTGATTAAGGCTTTGGGCCCCAAAAGCTATGTATTTCTCTGTCATATTCACCTAGATTTCAATGAAGACTCATGCAACAAATGAAAATGTGGCCTTGGTGCTATTCTTCTAGCTTTGATAACTTTCCTACTAAAATCCAATGGATTGTCTTTGATGAAAATAGCAAGGCTGCACCAAGGAGGTGCACCTTATTCCAACGCTGTCAGGTACAAAGTTGTGAGAGTACTGTCATCAAAATTCCAGAAATCACCTTGACCAAAGGTGGATCACCATTGTTGAAGGACAACCACTGTGTTCCAGGGTATCGATGTCCATAGTATGATCATAATTGACAGGAGCCAATTGGCATTGAGTTTTCATTCTGCCTTCTGATAATCCATTTGATACACACAAAAAAGAGTATTTTCTATCCAATGAAAGAAGGAGATAGAACATTTCCATAATCAGCAAGATAATATAAGAAAGCCTAAAAAACAGATACAACTTACCTTTCCTCTGGTCATTTCAGCTGCTTAAGGAGTGAACCAGTGATTGAAAGATCTTTCTCTCTATATCTCTTTCTCTCGGTAATTATGTCTTTCCAATAAAAATAAGCAAATCTTTTTTTTTAAGCTGGGATACATAAGAAAAACACATTTGAAACAAAATAACAATTATTTTTAAAAGGAGAAGAGTTTGCATGAAGGGGAAAATTAGACACAGAAACGATATAGCTGAATAACATTAACATAAAAATAGCGTCTCTGTTCCTGACTAGTTGGATGAGGCTAGATATGAAATTTCCACTCTGAATTTCTCAATTTAAAAGTTGTAAGCGAGATCACATAGATGAATTACATATTCATGAAACATAAAAAAATGTGTTTATTCAAAAGAAGAGCTTGTTGTGACATTAGTAATATGCTGGCCACATGTCTAGGGCAATGAGGTCTCTACAAGGTTAACATATGTCAGGTTTTTTTTCTTTCTCATTATTCAAGATGGGAGTATGGCCCCACCTCAATGCGGGATCCAGGAAATGCCATCCTATCATGTGTTGGTCAAATATGCAACTGGTCCTATGGATATCCACATTCTTCCAAATTCAACGGGGGAAGTAGACTCTCAACCTTATAGCTATTCAAGAAATGTAATGTTGTAAAAAATGTCTAGGAGTTTTATCATCTATAAGTTAATGTCGTGACTTAGATGTATACACAGCAAAACTATTTAATAAATGACTTAACAGAAATAATACCATTAAGAATTTAAAAAATGATTAAAAGAGCCTATTAATGAAGCAATTGAAAGGGATTGTGTTATCAGTATCAATAATACTCTTAGCACATTCATTATGCATTAGCATGTGACAAGATGTTCTGTGCTATTAAAAATGACTCACTACCACCTGATCAGTTCCGCTTACTATTACTGTTTCAATATTTAGAGAAGGAAACCTTTCAAAGATAATTCAGTTTTTGCCAAGAACTATCAGAAACTCCCTATATCATAATTGTCTTTTATTTTTATAAGTGTCATTGATCATGTTGTGACACTTTCTTGTTCTCTTAATGATCCCAACATGTAATACCAACATGTAAAGAAAAAGTAATTGCACAGATGCAATACTGTTGTACTCTTTCAATTTCTAAAAATTTATTTGAGCAAATTCAAGGTGCTAGCATTGTAGCACACAAGACAAACTTCTGCATCTCATGTAAATTCCTGTTTAGGCACGAGGAGCTCCACTTCTGCATCGGCTCCCTATTGATGGTCTGATAAAGCAGTGTAATATGACACAACTATTTGGCCTTCTATCACCCCCATGGGAAATCTGGGTGAAGCTCCTGCCTGCTAACTTTTGCCTGGCCCATCCCCAGCCATTGCAGTTATCTCAGAAGTAAACCAGTAGTTGGAAAAACCTCTTCCTCTTTGTCTCTCTCAGTCTCTGCAACTCTTCCCTTCAAACAATAAATCTTTAAGAGAAAGAGAGAGAACAAGCAAGAGTGTCCCCAGTCTGCTGGTTCACTATTCAAATGTCCACAATTAGTGCAGAAATTGGGAGTTCCATCTAGGTATCCTACAGCAGTGGTATTGGTCAAGTCACAGGAGCTGACATCACCATCTTCCAGTGTCTTCCCTAGCTGGGATTTGAAACCAGGCTCCAGAACTGGAGCTGCTCTAATGTGGGAAGGGAATGTACTAACTAGTGTCTTAATTGTTATGTCAAATACCTGCCAAGCAATACCTTTAGTTATAAAAGAGGGCAAAACAGCTGATTCCAACCAGTCCACAGGCCATTATACGAGGAACTATTTTAGCATCTCCCCCTTTGGTGTTATCAGCCTTGTTCTTCTCTAATAGCTTTGAGAATTCCTGGGTTCTAGAGAGTTCCCAGATTGGACAGGCCAACAATCAGTCAGAGTACGTTCTTTTTAATATCCATTTCTAATAAATTCAAGGGAAGAACTAGAAGATACTCAGCAAAGAAACTACCCAGGAAAGAGAATGGGGACTAATTATTTTCCCTAGTATTAGAAATAAAAATTGCATCTGGAGGGTCTCAAGGGTTCTTTCTTCCACAAAAGCTGGCCTGTAGGTTATTTATTCATTCTATTTTCATATTGCATTTCTAACATTGAGTAAGAGGCATATCAAATGAATATTTGCCTCTAGGAATTATAAAACACAAAATTAAAAAATAATTAGCAAAATGGTTGTTAAAAAAATGCTTACAACCATTGCAGAGGATCAAAAGCATCTACAATGAAGTTTAAAAATATATTTCCAACCAAGGGATAAGCTCAGGTGCCTTTTTGCTTCATCTTCAGTTGTAGAAACAATATTTTAAACCTCAGTATCCAAGTCTACATCTTCACATAAAACTCGCCCAGCTCCCTTTCAAGATTTAGTCTTGGCTGCAATTACACTACGTAATGACCAAAGTGAAAAACTGGATTCCTGACTGACATCAGCAGGTTAGCTCTTTATGCTTGAATGATATAAGAGACCAGCTAACAGGACCTCACCATGCATGGCTGTAAATGTTACTGATGGCCCTGAAGCACAAAAAAAAAACCTTTTTTTTTTTTTTGTGCATGCCTGCTCTTGTTATCTCTGCAGGAGTGACTTGCACAGTGTTGGCTCATGGATTCATGGCAAGAACTTCTTACCATTTGTTGTGCTTTTGTGATGTTATGATTACACTGAATATTCCTTTGGTTTCCACCTTAGCAGAGATGTTGCTCAGAAGCGTCAGGTTCATTCATGATATGTTAAGTGCAGTCATCATTTCTACCTTCCTTTGTATTCCTTTCCTGTGAAACCATTTTATAGTCTGTGTATACTAGACACCTTCCAGGACCTCCGGAGACATGTGATGTCTTTCCTCTGACCTTTGATTCCATCTCTGAATGTCGCTGTTGTTTAATGCAAATGTGAAAGTTGTACATAGAATAGTGATTCTCAACAACCGATGAGACACAGAACCAAAGGCTTCACTTTCAAAAATTCCACTTCAGGATATATCTGTGATGATGTCAGATTTTAAAACTTCCACACAGGATACTTGTAATCAGAGTTGTGGGTAAAACTTACTTGGAAATTATATTTCCACATCTTCCCCATGGATTTCTATGCAATGACTGAAAAAAAATCAATACTTATGGTAACCTAATCCAACAAAAAAGATGCTCTATGTAGACTCAGGAGATCATTTTCAAGTGTTTCTTCTCAATTGACACCATTGTCGGGAATCCAAAAGATCACACTTTAATAAAGTACTGCCACCAAATACCTGCGTCATTTCCATTTACCCCCTCTCTCCCTCCTCAGCAAGGTAGAAACAATAACCACAATTTGAGGATATATGGAAGGGTCGAGAACCCAAACACATGACTTGGAGTCAGAATTGAGACAGCATGCTACTCAAATAAGACTGTCTCCTTCCCTCATCTGTATACGAATTCTCTCTTCCACTCAACCCGTGTTATAAAAAGAGGAAAGTGGATAGATAAAAGTGCTTCAGAGATAGATGCATTTGTAAATTGTTATTTAAAGATATCTATATACACCAGCATTGCTGTTTTCACATTTAATGAGCTCTGTTCTGATGGGGAGCATTAATGCTAAGTGTCAAGGTTAAGGAGATCAATAAAGTACATTTTTAAGCATGGAATTATGTGGGAGTCCAGGCAATAGCAAAGACAAAATGCTGTGCCATTATGGGTAACTCTAGATACAAAATTCCTTTAGCATAAACTATTTTTAGATTACATCAGACTGATGTAAATTTAACTTGGAGTAATGGAAATAGAATTGGATGAGGGGCAGTGACCTTGCTCCAGACCAACCTCTAATTGGGCTCAAGTTTCTGATCTGCCAAATCTATGGATTTTCAAAGCACCTCTTGTTCTATATTCCCAAGCTTTTGCAGTCACCCTGCTAATGATCCAGTTCTTATTATAGTTCTGCTCCCAATCCCTCCTCTTGTTTCTCTTTTGCAGATTCTGTTCATGGGCATGATGACAGAGTACTACCATTATTTTTTCACAACCCTGGTAAGCTTACGTGGTAACAACTCATTCCTCAATGTAAGAAACATCTTTACATGGCATATTCAATGTCCGTTCAACTCATATTAAAGGCAGCCTAGTGTTGTGAAAATTTGCCTTACTATCCTGAGAATTCCCTAAACACGGTAATGCTGAACTACTGGCTTTGATTTGTTGCAAAAATCTAGCACCCAATGCAAGTGCATCTAGAAAGGAATTAAAATGAAAATAGAAATCATAGAAGTGTAAATTATTCTGAAAGAAACCCCATTTATCATTGATATTATTGAGTCCAGTGAAGTGTGTCTTGGTCTTTGATATGATGTGGTTTTCTTGCCTATGTCAGGAGACAGCTGGGATGTCCAGGGGTTGTTGACCTGACATGTGTTTGGTAAACTGTCAAGAAAAGCAACTAGAGAGATGAACCTCACATTAAGCCTTTTTCTTCACGAACAGCGATTATGGCTCTAAGCCTTAAAAATACAAACTTGGATATGCATTATATGTTGAGAGATTATCAGAACAAAGGCTAATAATTTGGTGCCTTTAATATACCGCATTGATGTGATGGCTGTCAGTCAACTGATATCAGAAACCACTCACACATACACATGCAGACTCGCCTACACATCCTACTCCCCCAATCCCACCCCTAGTCACACACTTCTGGGTAAAACCCCGAGTTAACCTCATTTGCTAGCCTGAATGTATCCCAAGCACAGTCTATCTAGATTCTGTGGGATTCAGCGCAAGAACAGTTTTAGCAAATAAACCTTACTCCATGTGAATAGGAGAAATCATAAAAATCAGAACAGAAAAAAGCAAGGAGCTGTCACTCAGTCTATTCCCTGAAGTGGTACATAGTAATACTGACTCAAGCATCTCTGCTAGCATGAGAGGAAATGATGTCACAAAACAGATGCTCTGACACAGCGGGCAGGGAACATCTATTGAATTAGGGGCAGGGCAGCAGGGTAGCAGGGTATACGGCAGAAGTTTCTGGCCCCTGAATCCATGATCTCCTGTGCCCATCATCCCACCTTCATGGTCAGGTCCTTCTTCAGAACCGTGAAGGGAAATCCTGGAAACACTTTTTGCATTTTTTATGTATCTATTTTTAATGTATTTGAAAGACAAGCAGAGGCACAAAGATATCCCAACCACTTTTTTTGTCTCCTCAGCTGCTCACAACATCTTCATATTAAGAGCTAAGCCAAGACTGAACAATGTAGAACTCAACCATGGCCATCCATACGAGTGGCAGGGATACAATCACTTGACTGACTCATCATGCACTGCCTCCTAATGTGTACATTAGCAGGGAGGTGGGATTAGACAGAGGTGGCATTCCAACCCAGCAACCCAATGTGGCACACAGGAACGTTCACTTCCACCTTGGAAATTCTAATCATCTTGCTCCATTCACAAATACGGACCTCCCTCTGGCTCCACAAACACCTGGTATTAGAAGATGACAAATGACATCTGCCTTAGAACTTTCTGCCAGTCCCAGCAGTGCTCTACAAACAGCTGCTTTTCCATAAATTTGAGAAATGGCATGGACAATACGATCTAAAGACGCTGGTCATCAGCGGGAATACTCGTGAATAAGCCAGCTGTGCAGTGTCGCCTCTGTTGAATCCTTACATTGTCCGTTTCCCCATCCTGCAGTGACAACAGGGTGTCAGAGCTCAGATCTTGGAATTTCCACTTTATACCCAGCACAGAAACCACAGATTGTAGGAAAATTGTACATTTTTTGCAGGTGTTTGATGTGCTCATTTTAGTACATTGTATTTATGTGTTATCCAATACCTCAGGGGTTAAATACATTAAGTGCATTCTGGAAGTTTCTGTGTAACTTCTGCTGCTTGAGAAACTTTCATGTATTTATTAAGCATGCTATATAGAAGTTACTCTTTCCTGGATCTTATTCTATAACTTAGTTTCTTGAAGCACTTCCCTTGGGTTTTATTGTCATTCTGCTCTGCTTTCCTTTTCTGATCTTATCATTGCTGCTAATGGGTATTAAAAATCCAAAGGAAAAAAAATCAGTTACTTAGTGCAAAGAGAAAAAACATATATAGTTCAAAAGCATAGCAATCTTTGCTGACACTGAACTGGAACCAGAGAGCTACTCTCCTGGAGTCCTACATCTTAGTCCAGAGTTGTCATGGGCAAGGGTAGCAACAGATCTCTTTGAAAGAACAAATCCGTATGCATCTCATGCAAAGGCAAATCAAAAAGTGTTGCTGAAGCTGCTACTGTTGAGTAGCCACTAGTATCACTGGCAATGTACTCTTTTGCAAACAGTTTCACTGATAGGAAATTTTTATAGATTTTTTCTGTTAAATGCTATTCAGAAAGTTTTGCTCATTCTTACATATAATATGTTTTTCAGTCAGATCTTCTTATGGATTAAAAAAACTTGAAATTACCATGTAGGTGCATTAGACATGTGAATCAGTTTACAAAATTTCTGTTTATACACAGCCTCACCCAGTGTAATGGAAGACATTGGGGTGGGTGAGACATTATTTTGAATCACACTCTGGAAAGGAGAAGGCTCTGTCAAGAGCTCACCACATGCCCAGTAATATCCCCTAAGGAGAACCTTGTGGTTCTTATTTTGCATAAATGTCCATGAGCATTCCTCTGTCCTGATTGTAGGGAATATGAGTTATGATCTGTGAGCTAGGCATGATCTTTCTATCAGGTCCATGTACAGGTTCCAGACTTCATTTCCATGCCAAGACCTAGAACAACCTGAGGCAGCCACAGATGTTCTGCCTCATTGCCACTCAGGACCTCAGTGCCTTTCATCCACAAAATAAAAGCACTGATCTCAATAAACACAATTATCTCTTCCATTTCCACCCCCAAAAGCTATTCTGTGTCTAAGGGAAGCCAAATTCCCCTTCTTGGTCTACAGACTCTCACGGTTCTTGATGAGGTGAGCGAAATTGAAAATGGCTTTCTGCTTCAGAATTGCTCAGGCAGAATGTGAATGAAAGAATGGTAGTTGTCTGGTATTTTTTACAAAAATGGGGTGACACTGACTGTATTTCTTCTTTTACCTATGTGCTACTTCTACTGTCATTAATTCTCCTTTGCCTAAGTATATCAATGCTGCTAAATCCTTTCTACTTTTATTATTATTTTTTTAATATTGCACAGGACTTATTCGCTCTGGATCTGGAACTCTATAGGTACAGTGGTGTCAACATGACTGGGTTTCGACTGCTGAACATTGACAGTCCTCACGTGTCATCCATCATTGAGAAGTGGTCCATGGAAAGCTTGCAGGCCCCACCCCGGCCTGAGACCGGTCTTTTGAACGGCATGATGACAGTAAGTAGTTTTACCCTCAATTCATATAAAATCATGCTAACTCCTTAGGTCTTAGGATGAAAATCTCTCCACACCTTTTACGTTTGAGCAGAAAGTGTTATAATGTGTACCTTGAACTGCATGGGAGAAGGAGTGATCTTTGGGGTGATTTGGAAGAACTATGTCTGGCCACTCTCAAAGGGAGTCATTTTTAGCTTTCTGAGTATACATGATGCAGATAAGAAAGCTGACACGTTCTCTGGCCCAGTAAAGACAAAGCAGGAACTGAAATAAGACAAAGCGAAAGAGGTTTACCCCTGAGGATGTGGTCCTAGGAGAAGGGGAGGAAAGATGTGCAAAAACTGCCAGTTGGCCCTCCTTGCTCTTGCCCCATCTCATCAAATGAAGCAGATGTGAAGAAAAGTCAGCCTCACATCAAGTGTGTGGTTCCTACCCCTCCCACCCGGGACACACGCAGGCACTCCTCAGTGGCACACACGCAGTGCTTAACCGCAGCCATATGTCGCTCCTGAAGCAGGTGCCAAGCCCTCCTCCTGACAAGTCAGAGGCACTCCGCCGAACACATGAATTGCCAGCCACCTCATCAGAGAGCTTCTTGCTGATATCATCCGTCTCTTGTCAAATGTGCCTACCCTCGCTTTATTGCTCTAATGAAGCTCTCTGGGTGATGAAGAAAATAGCAGGAAATAATAATAAAAAGTTTCCTGTGAAAGACCAGTGGCATCTAAGGGAACAGATATTGAGAACAAGCAGGTAATAGCATTTTAAATTGGCATAGTATTTCATTCTCTATTTCCATCATCGGGAGAAGTACTCTTTCTTTTAAGAAGCAATTTACCGATAACTGAAAGGCATCATCTCTCAGAAAAATGAACTTGGGATTTCGCTTTTTCTCTTTCCTATGAGGAACAAGTGAAAAGAAGAAATAAATGAATGAATTAAGTGTTTCTGGATGATTCCATGTTCCAGGATCCTGACTATTTTTCAAACCTGAAATGATTTTTTGAATATACCGTGATTTGTGAGATAATGACGGAAATCATTTGAGTACAAATGAGCCTGGGGGTGATTTGAAACATGGCTTTGAATAAGAACAAGTGGAGAACATTTAGGGAAATACTCATCTTCTGAAAAGGTGGTATAGAGTGTCACAGCAAGAAAAATAAATTGCACTAATATGGTGACTTTTCTCTTCTTACCTTTAAATTTGTAATTCTGAAGAATTCCTATGTGGTCCAATATTGTCTGCCCACCTTCTCACTTTCCAACAAAATTTCTGCCACAGGATAAATTTTCAAAGTATTTTACGTGTGCTTTGTATGCCCCAATGAAAATAGTAGTTTAAAGCCATGTTAACACAGATTTTGGATTCATGACACACATTAAATATTCATCAAGGATGGCTTAAGATATATATATATATGTTTGTGTGTGTGTGTGTGTGTGTGTGTGTGTGTGTGTGTGTGTGTGTGTCTGAACTCAGAGCCACTGAACTGACATTTTGTCCATATTGGCTGAGATGAGGAAGAGCAGGGAAGACTGAGCTGTGTAATAGTTGTGAAATCTGGCTGGGCAGGAGGCAGTATGGCTTCCCCGAGGTGTGGCCGGTGGACTGGACTAAAGCAGGCTCCTGGGCAAGAGGTTGGCAGATCTTAGCCCTGGTGGATGAAGCATCCCTGTCCTGCCTGGTATTTACTGCCATCATCCTTCCACCAGAGGGGTTTAAAAACTGTGTTTTTAAGATTGTTACTATTATTATAAACAATGGAAAGTGGTTTGCCATACCAGAAGAGAGAATCTCACCAAGGAGCTGTAAAAGAGGGCAGAGTAAATGTGTCAATCATGTCAACACTGGTGAAATGAAAGGTGATCCGACACTGGAACTCAGATGTAGCAGCCTTGCAGCCCAAGCTTGGAAGCTGGCTTTGTGAAGCATGATATTGCCATTATTTGTCCAAAGAGTCTTAGAACACTTACTCACCATTTCTGTTTCTGCTGGAGGTGGCTACGTTGAGGGTATGGCACTGAGTCACGGGAAGGTGAAGCACAGATGGCAGGACACTAACTGGACTATAAATGAGCCTAAATATTGGATTCCATGTACACAAACTCAGGCCCACTGGCTGAAGAGGCCTCCATCCAAATTCTCCTATGCTTGAAGACAAAAATGCCATAAATTAATAAAATACTTAGTCAACATGTACATTGTTGTGAAGTGCTGGTATTTTTTCTACCACTGTCTATATCTACAAATTATGACACACTGAAATAGCAGAATGATGGACTTGTCACTGCTGTTGAAGGACTAAACTATTGCAATTATATAGGGGAAACAGTGGTGGAGGAGGGAGTGAGGAGGATTAGTAAGAATGGGAAAAGGGGAGATTCCTGAGCCTATAAAACTGCATCATGAAAAAAAATTTAAGAATAAAAAATCAGTCATACACTAACCACCATTTATGCCATTCTGTAATAAAACAAGCACAGCATAGGCTTTTACCTTAATATTTTTAACTATAAAGAATTTCTTAATATTTTATATACTAAAAAGTATGCCAAGACTATAATTACATATGCGATTAGCATGTATATCCACAAGTCCATTTTACAAAATTCCAAAAGAAATCTTTATTTCCCACATTAGAACAATAGAGTCCAATAATTTAAAAATATTAATTTTTAAAATGAGGTTAAAATTCAGATGACTAAGAAAACTGAGACAGGCAGTAGCTTTCAAGAGCAGTAAAACTCTTAAAAAACAATCTGAGATTTTAAAAGGACTGTCTTATCAACTGAAATGTGAATTAACAAACATTGTGATTTTTACAAAATCTACTTCCATTCCCTTTCACTATGTTTAAAAGTTGAGAATGTGAGCTGTTTCAATTGACTGGATTTTGGATGGACTTGAGTAATGAAATGGACCATTTTTATGCTGTGGACCAAAAATGTGTGTGACTTGCCATTGCACACGCATCACAAAAACAGTAGAACATTGATCTGCCGACCATCTGCCTGATTCTTCAAATGCATTCATAATGTGAAGTGAAGCCAGCAGCCTTAGCCTGCTCTCATACGGGAACATTTCCAAACATCAGAATCCCCAGGGAAGTTGTCATTGAGTATGCACCTGGAGCACCCACTGATACACCTGCCATGAGAAACAATACACAGCTGGATTCACTAGGAAAAATAAGGATTTGCTGTATCTCTTAACTAAGTGAGCTGAGCGTGTTATGTAATGCTTATGAATGTGTTTGTATGTCTGCAAACCTTTAGAATGAAACTTTACATGGTCATATTGCAAATTAAGGCAATATACGCAAAGGCTCTAAAACATAGAGTAAAATATACTTGATTGCACATGCTGTTTTGTTAATTTTTAGTCAGTAAAAGAACAAAGATATTCTAAGACAATAAGGCATAATCTGCTTATTTGTAGATTCTTTCCTGTCATTTTATCTGTAGTCCAAGAAAGCTCCCGACGAAGACCTGTGTGGCCTTGTATGGTCAATGAAATCATGCACGTGTATTTGCCAGCTCAACATATGCTCAAATTCTTCTGTTCTTCAATATCTTTCTCAAAAACTGCCCAAAGCTCACTGATCCAATTGTAGTAATCAGTGGGCAATTGTGATCATTGGGGGAATCACAGTGCTAATCTGCCAAGTCCTAGGTGGTGAGCATGTGTTGGTCTCTTTGCTCCCTTCCCCAACCATTTTCTAAATCCCGGGTTGTTGTGGCTGGTCTCTACTTCCTGGCCACTCAGGGAATACAGTACCTAGTTTACCACTCATTTCTCAGCAACACCCACATCCCGGCTCAAAATGTTAGGTTCCTTACCAGGGCTCTGGTAGATAATAGACTGGTTCTCCTACCTTTACCAAAATATTCAAGTATCAGACAAGAACAATTATCAGAAAAGTATCAGACAAGACAAACTAATTCAGATGAAGTAGTAAATTCATGTTAGCTCTATGCTATAGAGCAGATATTTCGATTGACTTAAAACTTTTATTCATTTATTTTTAAATGTATTGCTTGAAAGGTGAAGACAAAGAAAGAGAAGACAGAGAGACAAGAAGATCTTCCATTGGACAGTTAACTGTCCAAGTGCTTACAACCACTAGAGCTGGGTGAAGCAAAAGCTAGGAATTAGAAATTCATTCTGGGTTTTCGCATGGGTGGCAGGAACTGACATTTCCACACTATGATTTGCTGCCTCCCAGGGTGCACATTATCCATGAGCTGGAATGGAAATCCAGGCCAGGATTCAAATGAAGGTACCTGGATATGTGATGTAGGCATCCAAAGTTACACTTTGCCAAAAAGTTGTCCCAACATATTTGGCTTGTACTTGAGGAAGCTATTAACACAAAGTAGTGTGATTTGTGGATATTTCTCTCCTGAAAAACAGTCTTGTCCATCCATATCATGTTATCAAATGCTTCCCAATTTGGAGAGAAATAGAAAACAAATGCCCTTTTTCTCCATGTGTTCTGCAAAGACCCTATAGTACACCTCTCAGCTACAGCTTTTTCCAACAATAGGTAGGTAGAAATGTATGGGGAGTTGATAAGACCACATGATGTGCCTCGTTCTGGTCTTGAAAGTAAGGGGGACATTTCATGGGTTGGTGTTGTCAGCAGAGTTAGGTGGAATAGGTTCTTGTCTTCATGTGAGAAAGAATTGGGGCATAAAATATAAGAGAAATGACAAGCAAGGTAGCTGTTATATTGGGGCAGGTTATTCATCAAGACGTTGGGACACTTCACCAGCATAATCAAGGACAGTGCCTGGAAAATTAGACTGTGGTAAGCAAGGTGCATGACTGACAGCTGAGGTGACCCACTTCTCAGGAGAGGTTGAGAAAGCTGTCTGTATTTACACTGGTGTTGATAAGGGAACAGAACTGGGTTCAGCTGTTCCTGCTGTTTCTTTTCCCTTGTCCTCTTCTCATGAAAAAAAAAAAAAAAGATTTTCTGGGTACCAAATAGGTAAAATTCCTCCTGAGGCTTTGATGCTGCGGATGCCCCTTAGCACCAGGCAGAGGATTCTCCTCGGTTGCTCCTTCTGGGGCAAGGCTGGGACCACCTGCACAGTTACTGGACAGGACTTGGTGGTGTAAATACCAGGCTGCTCCCAGGTGTGGTTTTCCAGCTCCCTTTTCCTTTGTGTTCGTTGGTACTTTATTTTCCTTAATCTCTAACTTCCTTCTTGCCATTGGTAGTACCTAAACTCACTGTCAGGAGTGAGAATTTGCCTGAAAGACTTACAAAGCTCAGAAACCGTGTTATATACATGGTGACAGTTCAAAAAGTGTGTGGACAATGAGATTAAAGGATAGCTTTATTTTGGTGTAAAGAGTCTTCGAATACAAGGTTTTTTATAGGGTTGTGAAAACTAAGTATTCTGGAAGAAAAAAACCTTGCTTGAAGTTCAAAAAATAATTTTTTCAAATATTTATTTTTATTATGTTTTTATTGGAAAGGCGGATATACAGAGAGGAGGGACAGAGAGGAAGATCTTCCGTCCCATGATTCACTCCCCAAGTGAGCCGATCCGAAGCCAGGAGCCTCTTCCGGGTCTCCCACACAGGTGCAGGGTCCCAAAGCTTTGAGCCATCCTGGACTGCTTTCCCGGGCCACAGGCAGGGAGCTGGAAGGGAAGCGGGGCTGCCGGGATAGAACCAGCGCCCATATGGGATCCCGGGGGCGTGCAAGGCGAGGACCTTAACCACTTGCGCCACGGCGCCGGTCCCCAAAAAATAATTTTTAAAGATTTATTTTGTTTTTATTGGAGAGGTGGATACAAAGAGAAGGGGAGACAGAGAGAAAGATCCTCTATCTGCTGGTTCATTCCACAAGTGGTTGCAATGGCCAAGCCAATCTGAAAGCAGGAGCCAGGAGCTTCTTCCAGGTCTACCACATGGATACAGGTTCCCATGTGTCCCCAAAACCCATATTTCACTGCTTTTGCAGGCCACAAGCAGGGAGCTGGATGGAAAGTGGAACACCCAGGACATGAACTGCTGTCCAAATGGATCCTGGTTCATGCAAGGCAAGGATTTGGCCACTGGGGCTATCACACCAGGTGTGAAATTCAAAAATTTTTATCCCCCAATAGTTTTACTTTTAATTTCATTTTCCACAAACTTTTTGAACTGTCCTCATATTGCTTCAAAAGACTACAGTTAATCATCAAAGATGCAATGAAGATTGTCCAGAAGCAGCCAAGGCTAGGATTCTAGACTTTCTTTCCCAGTGGAATCTCACCAACAGTACTTGCTCCCCAGCAATGATGTGTAACAACATGTGTGAAGTTGTGCTAACCAAGGAGGCTTCACTGAGTCTTGGTGATCGGGCTTTTTTATTGGGAAATATTCATTAGGCATAGAGTACCTATATAGCCTGACTCTGTTATTTAGTCTCTGGGCCTTCCGGAGGTCAAGTGGTTACAGCACGATGTAGAGCAACAGGACAAAAGATAATCACTCTAAGCCACATTGTAAGCATATACCATTTGCCATTTCCCAAGACCCCAGAATATAGAAACAGCCCAGATCTGCTGAGTTATCCTTTTCCTGCCAACTCCAGTAACTCACGGACCAGTGTGTGCTAGAGAGAAGCCTGTGTTCAAAATACTTAGTTCATGATCCATATGGGGGTTCAAAGGTTTGCTACATTCAGCACTGTGAATTTTACGTTGGGTCTACACACACACACACACACACACACACACACACACACACACACACACACAATGTGAACATAAACATATTGGATCAAAAAAAAATAGAGCATGTTTCTATTCCTATTCCATGCTCAATTCCCTAAATTCTCTTGAGAGTTGCCATTCATGAACCAGACCTCCAGCACAAACTAAAAAGGGGAGGAAAACCAGTGGTAGTTTATTAGTACTGTAAGCAAGTTAAATACTTCTTTCATCTGAGAAAACACTTTGTGTCAAGGGGTAGTGTATTTTTAGAACAAAATGTTCTGTTTTCACTGGAAAAATGTTCACCAGATCATTTTGAACTATTGTTTTTGTCCTTCCAAGTCTGAAAGCAGCTCTAAAGAAATGAAATATCTGTCCCAACTAAGTTTAAAGAAAGGTCAAATGACTAGAATTCCGCATTTTAGATTTGTCTTTCAAATCACTTATGAAATAAATTAATAAAAACACATACGAACTTGTCAAAAAGTACTCTCCACTGAAAAGGGCCGAGATCACCTTAGGGCAGTATCTGTGTATGTGAGCTCTGAGTTAGGGTCCTCACCTCTGCCCTTGCTAGTCGCATCACTTCAAGCAAGATATTCTCCCTCTCCAAACCTCAATTTTCCTGTCTATAAAATGGAGATAATAGCTGTTTCAGAACTTTAATCCTAATAAAGCAGATGAATAGGTAAAAAGCTCACTATGTCTTCTATCTAGTAAGCTGTTCATGAATACTAACTTGACTAATCAATTACTGTGAGCATCAAATCGTCAAACAGGTAACTTGCTTTATCATCAGAATACTTTCGGGGTTAAAAGCATAAACTGTAGGATTAATTTTTAGCATTTTAAAATTGTTTTACCTCCACTAATTTGAAAGCATCATTAAATCTCTGAATTTCTTTAACCATCAAGAAGTAAAAGTTGGTAGTGAAAAACCCGTGTTTGTCAAAGACAGAGAACAGCACTGGATGCACAGTAGGCGTTGTATCGATTCTCGGTAGCATTATTAACTGTATTTTTTTAAAACCTGAGCCTGCCAAGGGTTCCCCTAATTGTAACAACTAGTACAGGAAAGAATGAGGAATATGACTGCTGAATAAGGCGAGCATTAGGTGTAAATCTCAGCCATGCAAAGGTTCAACACAGTCACCCTCACCCTGATGATTTCCAAAAAGCTTGCACTCTCTAATCTACAAAATGAGTGCTGTCAGTTTGGAACTGAGAGGCGTGAGTGCAGTTTGGAGATATAGCAATCACCATCATAATTATTACCAATATAATCTCTACATTTCAATGATAGGGTTGAAATGTGTATATTAAAATCTGAAGATTATACAGTTCTTCTAAAAATTGTATTTTTACTTTAAGCCATGAAATAACAGTAATTCCTTCAGTGGACTTTTATTTCAAAACTTGTGTGTGTCAGACACTATAATAGCAAGCAAAGTTGGCCCTCCATAAATGTTTGCCCTTAAGAATACCACAGTCTTATCAAGAAACACTTTCGAAAACAAATGACAAGAAGTCTGAAGAAAATGCAATGAAAGAGCTTGCACAGAATAATAATGAGTCAGAGTAATTTCTAGGCCTCAAGGAGGGACAGGATGCAAGCTACAGCAACCTCTGTACGCTCTTTCCACCTGCATTAAGACATGATCAACCAGTGTATCATGAACGCTGAATAAATCAACTGATCTCATAAAAATAAATGCTAATCTTCATCCTGTGACCTGGACTCTGGGCTTAACTCTGCCAATTACCAGCTATGTACACACGACCCTCCAAAAAAATCAATATCCTGCTTGAAGGTCAGTTTTCCCACATAACATACACAACAGCTTTATCTATACGCTCTGTGTATCAGGGGAGTTGTGGAGAATTTTTAGCCAGCTCATGTGTTTGAAATAGCAGTAAAAACCCTCAAGGAAGCTGTGAGAGTATTTAAAAGATTTTATCCCTAAACAAGAGGCAAAGAAAAAGTTTTAAAAATCCAGAAAGTATTATGTAAAAGCTTGCAAATCTGAGAAATTTCATGAGGAACATAGAATGCGATATCTAGTGCCCAAATGGAAGGGCTGTTTGCAATCTTTCCTGGAAGGGGCATGCTGCCAACAACAGGTATTCCCTGAAAAAGCCACACATGTTTTCTTCTCTAGAGTCTCCCCAAACCTGAGGTTTAGCTTGATTCCATGATCACAGCTTTCTAAATTCTGGTACAAACAAATGCACAGCAGTAGGTTTTGTGTGTGTGTGTGTGTGTGTGTGTGTGTGTGTGTGTGTGTGTGTGTGTGTGTAATCAAGCCAGTTAGAGAGAGAATGAGAGAGAGCTCTTCCATCTGTCAACTGACTCCCCAAACAGCTGACAATAATAGGGCTGGCCAAGCAAAACAGCATGGAATTCCATCTAGGTATCCTGTGTAGGTAGCAATGTAAGGGCTTTTACCATCCTCAGTTGCATTTTCAAGAAAATTAGCAAGGAGCTGGATCAGACATGAAGTGGTCACAACTGAAGCCATCTCCCAAATGCAATGTTTGCATTGCAGCTGGAAAGCTGAACTGCTGTGCCACAATGCCAGCCTAGCAATTTCTATCAAATATAAAGCAGTAAAAAAAAAATTTGAAAAGTTGTAGATAAATGATGAGAAACAAAGCATGATGTTGAAATACTGAGGTTTAGTAGCTTCTAGCTTATTGTAGAAGACACTCCAAAAATATTAATGCTTAGAGTAAAATCTTTTGTTGTAGATGCAAATTGCTTTTAAGAACTCAAAACAAATTACAGAAATTATTCCAACTTACGTAAGAGTGTGAGGTATTATTTTGGAGAAAATTAGCTATCAGGAATCAAAACTTGTTGAAGGATAGATGGGGATAGATGGCTTTGACAATCGGACAAATACAGAATAGGAAGCAGGGCTAGTGATTTTGCAGATGGAAGCAAATAAGTAGAAAGCGTAAAGGAAGATCTAATGTGGTTTTTTCTTCACAGACTGAAGCAGCTCTAATGTATGATGCTGTGTACATGGTGGCCATTGCCTCCCACCGGGCAGCCCAGTTGACCGTCAGCTCCCTCCAATGTCATCGACACAAACCATGGCGCCTTGGACCCAGATTTATGAATCTGATCAAAGAGGTAAGAAGCACTTCCTCACAGCTTTCCATTGTTGGCTTTTTGTTCAATTCCTGGAGGATTTTTACGTGGGAATGTAGGTGCTTATAATAGTGGAACAATTATCAATTTCTTGGATTTTAGTGTCTGCACGTTGATTCGAACAAGTACCACGAGTTTCCAAGTGTGATGTTGGCAAGTTTAAGGAAAACTACTTGATTTTATCCCTCTCTCCGTTTCTGCTGCAACCCCAGATACTACAAATACCATATATAATTGTTAGAGCTCGTGGATGTTCCTTCCTGTGGTTTGCTCAGTCAACAGGAAGGTTCATCCATCAGTAAAGGGCGCCAGCAAGGATTCCCATTCGTTACCCACAATTCCTGTATATTTTTTTAAGGTTCTGGCTGTATAGGACTATCAAAGAGCCTCTTTATTTTTTATAATACTTAATTTGCCTTTTGTCAGCTACCCAGAAATGTTTAGTCCTATTCAAACCCTACCAGTGCATTTCAAGAATATGGAGTGTTTGGGAGAGGGGCACTTACTAATGCCCTGGGATCCTGGACTATGCCTACTTTAACTTGATCTCTAAAGGTGTTCGAATTCCCTTTACAGAGCCCTGTTCTGAGATCCCTAAACTATCTTTGACTATAAAATATGTCTTAGTATGTATCAATATGATGTAAAGTTCTTTGAAGTATTCAGAACTTGTGATGTTCTGTGGCACCGTTCTAGCATTTTCTCTATGAAATACATAGATCCAGCATGCTAATGGAAAGTGCATTCTTTTTTGCTTTATAATGGAGAAGGGTGGAGTGAGACAAAACCATAAGAGAGAAGAATACTAGGAAGCACTAAGCAGGAGAATAATGCTCAGCCATGGTCAAAGACCGTGTTTTTGTTTATAAGCAATATAATGTGAGCAAGTTGCTTAAACTCTCAGTATGTCACAGTTTTTTTCATGTAAAAGTAAGAATATCAGCAGCTACATTGTTGCATTATGACATAGATAAAGAGGAAAGCTAAAACTTTTGCAGAATAGTGCAGAAACTTAGTAAGACTACAAAATGTTACCACTTACTCATCATTGGAATATACCACTATTGATAGCCTTATTCAGTTCACTGAGTGCAGTACTAGAATTTAAAAATGGCAACAGCAACTAAGAAATTACAAATAGGCGTGAAATGAAATGCTCTTTCTCATGGCTCCAGAAATCTGACATACCGTGCTAATAGAAAATCAGCACACAGCCTCCTCCTTTTCCCATGGTAATGGTTATGTCCTGAATCACCACATTGATTACCTTGATCTTTAACAAGAAAACAGCTGGTTTTCTTTTATCTCATACCAGTGCAAGGAGCAGCAAAAACGACATGAAAGCTAGAGATCAAACACTGGGAGCACCCCCAAGCATATTCTTGCCTGTATTAACTTGCATAAGAAGGTGAAATTACCAAACATACTTAGGTATGTTTAAAGAAATAATAAGCTCCAAGATGAGGGATCATGTTGCAAGCAAGAAAGCATTTTATGTTCTCTGATTCCAAAAGCAGAGCCCCCATTCTCCAGCTCACCTTTGGGAGTGACGGGAAAGGTGTCAGGAGATGCAGCAGCATCCTTGGTTAGCATTGAGCTCACGCTGTTTTTGTTGTCCTAGTCGCTGTGCCACATGCTATCTCCAGCAGAATGTGGTAACTGCTGAGAAGATGGTGCAGGGACACTGTAATGAAAAGCAATGTCCCAGCTGCCACTGTGGGAATTCTAAAGCAAAGACATGAAGGAGAGAAGAAAAAGAAAGAAGGAAAGAAAGAAAGGAAGGAAGGAAGAAAGAAAGAAAGAAAGAAAGAAAGAAAGAAAGAAAGAAAGAAAGAAAGAAAGAAAGAAAGAAAGAAAGAAAGGAAGGAAGAAAGAAGGAAAACACAGGTGTTTCTTTGAATGGAAAAATATGAACAAGTCTCCTTTTCCTAAGATTTATTTATGTTTATTGGAAAGCTAGATTTACAGAGAAGGAGAGATAGAGAAAGATCTTCCATCCACTGATTCATTCCCTAAATGGTCACAACAGCCAGAGCCTGATCCAGTCAGGAGCCGGGAGTCTCCTCAGGGTCTTTTACACTGATACAGGGTCCCAATGGACCATCCCCTATTGCTTACCTGGTCAGAAGCAGGGAGCTGGACCAGAAGTGAAGCAGCTGGGACATGAACCAGTGATCACATGGAATGCTGGCTGTTGCAGGCAGAGGCTTAGCCAGTTGAACAATCAGCCAGGCTCCATTTCTGGTTTAGTTAGAAAATGTAAGACAGGTATTTGGTCTTAAAATTTTCTCTGGTACTTTAGCAGTTCTTTCTTTTTTAAAAAAAAAAAAAGTATTGGGCCCAGCGCAGTGGCGCAAGTGGTTAAAGGTCCTCGCCTTGCACCCTCGGGATCCCATATGGGTGCCGGTTCTAATCCCGGCAGCCCCACTTCCCTTCCAGCTCCCTGCCTGTGGCCTGGGAAAGCAGTCGAGGACAGCCCAAAAGCTTTGGGAACCTGCACCCGCGTGGGAGACCCAGAAGAGGCTCCTGGCTTCGGATCGGCATAGCATCGGCCCGTTGCGCTCACTTGGGGAGTGAATCATGGGACGGAAGATCTTCCTCTCTGTCTCTCCTCTCTGTATATCCGCCTTTCCAATGAAAAAAAATAATAAAAATAAATCTTAAAAAAAAAAGTATTGATTTGAAAGGATTGATTGATTGATTGATTTGCACACACACACACACTCAGGGCAAGGTAAAGGTGGGGTACTTCCATCCACCGATTCACTCCCCAAATGGCTACCACAGCCAGATCTGTGTCAGGCCAGAGCCAGGAGCCATTTAAGTCTCCCACTTGAGTACATGTGGGCCATCCTCCATGGCTTTCTCAGGCACATTAGCAGGGAGCTGGAATGGAAGTAGAGCAATTGGGACATGAACCAATGCCCATATGGGATACTGACATTGCAAGCAGTAGCTTATCTGGTTACCCTACAATGCCAGTATCACAATTCCTACTTTCTAAAGGAATTTAAAAACTGAAATCAGATCTGATGTAAATGAGTAATTTTGCAGATTGAATTTATGAGATGAAGATCAAATTCATTTCAGGATATGAACTTGCTAAGTAGAGATGGTTGTGTGTCTTCTAATCCCTGATAAACTGCATTTGTCATTCATGGTGACACTCAGAGCTGCCTCCCAAGCTGACCATCCTTCAACTTTTGAGGCTGTCTAGAAGGAAGGGGTAAATTAAAAAAAAAAATTCAAACTTGATGGAACATATTGTAGTGTTACCACTTTGGAACATTTACTAAATAAATACATATTTGGGGCATTGTGAATTTCTACTCAATAACCTTTACTGGGACCCTGTCATGAAGATAGTATTAGCATGTTTCATAAAGGACACCTCCAAACAAGAAGTGGAAGGCATGGTTTCTTTAAGGGATATTGTCTAAAAGATGCTAAAGGTAGTTTCTATCCTACTGGCATAAATCACACATCTAGGGAGAATATCGAGCTTCATTGGCAGCTTTCCTATGCCCAAGGATAAAACCTACAATCTACAGCAGGATGTACAGTCTTTGGTGATCTGGTCCTCACTGCCATCTCTCATCTCCTGACCAGTTCCCAGTTATTAAATCTTCTGTGACTCCCTGAAAAGGCCATCTGCTTCTATCATATTTCCTCATCTTTGATTGAATTACTGTCACTCTTAGGGTTATCTTTTGTGTCCAACACAAGCCCTAGATCCTAACAGCCAGCCCTGACCCACAAGTGTAGGCTTCCAAAACACACGTTTGTTTCCATAGCACCCACTGCTGTGATATCAGGATCCAAGCTGTGAATTTCCAGTCTCCATGCCCTCATCCTTGGACAATGATCAGTGTAGAATACACACTCCCCCACCCTCAAAAAAGATATAAGCCATGTGAATAATCAATAAATGAATTAGTAAATGGGAAAAGCCACTGATAAATGCATTTATAGCCAACAATCTATAAGCAAATCTGAATACTTCCAAGGCACACTCAGTACACAATTATCTTGAAAATTCACTTATTTTAGGCCAGATCAGAACTAGGAGGCCATATCAAAACCAGGAACCCAAAGCTACTTAGGGCCATTCTTCGCATTGGCAATGAGCTGGATTGGTAGCAATGTATTAAAAACTCACACTGGCACCCATATGAGATGTCAGCAACACACCTGGCACCTTTATCTGTTTTGGCACTGCATCAGCTTAGGACACAAATATTGTGTCCAGAAACAATTCAGTAAGATAGAGTCAGAGCTGGTGGGATGGGTCTGAACCCCGAGGACAGAAGCTCTGTTAGGTGAGTGAGTCTGGGTCCTACTCATATTCCCAGCTGTGCATTGCTGATCCTGTTATTCAGACACTGAGGTTCAATCACGATATACTGTCTTTGTACTCAGTCAAGTCATGCAGCTTCTTTGTCAAAACTCTTTTCTGTAATATGGAAATTAAAATCCAAATTCCTTGCATTGGTAGGATAACACACCTCTGTGGGTTGGTTAGACAAGTGTTTTTCATATATGGGCAATTCACAAACGGTGTTTCATCACCTGAAAACTTCTGTTAATGATGTTCATTGTGTTAGGTGCCGTCAAGAAAAAGGAGACAACATACAAAAAACATGAATGTATTGCCAACCACACATGCTGTTACTTGTACTGGTGTCATTGCCATTATTTTTGGAGTCAAAGATGAAGTGGTTGTTTGCAAAAGAGAATGAAGGACCTACAAATGGAAAATCAAGTGTTCTGTGTATTCAAGCACACAGCACATAGGATGCCAGCTGTCATGATGGCAGGCAGTGAGGCACATCTAACTCTTCAAGAAGGGTGATCAGCCAGTCCCAGTTGAGGCTGCCATAATATAATGCCATCTATTTGGTAGTTTATAAACTAAAAATTATCTCACAATCCTGCAGTTTAGTACCGGTAGATTGGGTATCTGATAAAGACCTGCCACTTTG